CTTTTGTTCCGTGCCACCCCCTGGTGGACAGAGCACATCACAGCAAGCAATCAAACCCTGGATCTCCTAGGCCAACTACCATGGGGACACTTTGCATATTAGCCTTTTATATATATATATAGATAGATATATAGATAGATAGATAGATAGATATAGATATAGATATAGATATAGATATAGATAAATAGATATAGATAAATAGATATAGATAGATAGATAGATTGTATTCACCCCTCCTTCACACTAGATTGTTTAAAATAAACTGTCAGATATTATAATATATCATTTCCCCAGAAAATATTGTAGTTTAACTATTTCCACGTACTGTTTTGTGTTGAAAGTATGTTAAAATGAATATACCTTTTTTTAAAATCCTCACCCAACAGTATGTTTTTTTGTTGTTGTTGCTTTTAGAGAAAGAGGAAGGGATTGGGGGGAAAGAGAGAGAGAAACATCAATGTGAGAAAGAAACATTGACTAGCCACCTCCTTCCTTTAGGCACCCCGGCCAGGAATTGAACCCACAATCCTTCAGAGTACAATGTGACGCACCATCCAACTGAGCCACATCAGTCAAGGCTAAAATGAATGTATCGCATAAATCACATTCCCATATTTGATAGATTGGTTGGTTGACTGATTGTATCCAAGGACTAGAAATGAAGCAGGTTAATTGTTTGCAAGATAAGAAACAGAGCAAAACTGAAATCCACCCTCTCTGCTTTTGAACATAATTTCTCTGACTCCAGGATGGAAAGAGAACTATCTTGACATCCTCTATCGAATGCCAGGGCTCACTTTCAGCTGGTGTGTACTGCTATTGTTACACTGAGTGTTAAAATAGTAAAATTCTTCTTAAATGGTAGAGACTGGTGCTTCCACCCACCTTCTTCACCCACCAGTCCCTGGCTTCTCTGGCCCTGGGCAACAGGAGTCCTGGGCTCTGGTGGGCAACTCTGCTGGCACCTTGGTGGGTGCTGCTTGGTGCCCTGGCAGGCCAGCCTGCTATTCTGCAGATAACCTTGTGGCTACTGTGGGAACTGTGGCCTCCACAAGATTCCAAAGTGATTGCTAAATATTTTTTAAAATATTATTTTATTGATTTTTTTTTTTTTTTTTTTTTTTTTTTTTTTTTTTTTACAGAGAGGAAGGGAGAAGGATAGAGAGCTAGAAACATCAATGAGAGAGAAACATTAATCAGCTGCCTCCTGCACACCCCCCACTGGGTATTGCCCACAACCAAGGTACATGCCTTGACCCTTCAGTCTGCAGGCCGATGCTCTATCCACTGAGCCATACCGGTTTCGGCAATTGCTAAATATTTTAAGTATTTATTATTTCCTCTCGTTTGGGAATTTAGGTGAATTTAATTGAGGGTTCCTGAGATGAACGGGGACTTCAGTCAGGCCCGCTTAGATCAGAAGCCACTGCCAGGGTTCTAGGCAAACTGTAAGAGAAAATATTAATAATATCCAATTCAAAAGAAATAACATCTAACGCAGTGAATTGGTGGAAAGGTTGGATGAGATCATTGTTCAATGTCTAAATGTACACATTTCTGATACAGAACTTGATTTTCTCTTCCAATTCTCCTCACACCGTTCTTCCCCTAACAGCTCATAACACCGCCATTCACGTTTGCTGAGGCCCCAAACCAGAAGTCATTCTTGATTTTTTTCCTTCCCTTATCACTAACATCTAACCCCCAGCAAAGGGGTCAACATTCAAATATATCTTAAACCCAACCACTTTGTACCACCGCCATTGTTGTCAGCCTAGGTTAGCCACCCTCAAACTTTTTGGTTTTAGGATCCCTTTACACTCTTTGACACTATTGTGGACCCCAAAGATCTTTGTTTATGTGGGTTACATTAATATTTATCATTAGTATTAAAAACCAGAGTGGAAACAAATTTACAGTATTTATTTCTTCATTAAAAAATACTAAGTCCATAGCATAGTAATATAAATAACATATGTGTTGTAAAGTAACCATATTCTGTATTTTCCCAAAAAAGTTTAGTGAGAAGAGTGGCATTGCTTTCTTTTCTTTCCCTTTCTTTTCTTTTTACTTTTTGCCGATCTCTTTAATGTCTGGCTTAAAAACAATTTTCGTAACTACGTCTGCATTCAATCTGCTGCAGTATCACATGTCATGTAGCCTCTGGACAACTCTACTGTGTATTCATGAGAGAATGAGAATAAGGAAGGCAAATGAAGTCCTCCTGTAAGCAGGAACATCGTTTTGACCATGCAGACCCACTAGAATGTCTCAGGGGTTCCCAGACCACAGTTTTTAACATTTTGTAAAAACTGAGATCTCGTTTACATACCAAACACTTTATCCTTTTGAGATCAAAATCACCATACCTAATTCCAGAACAATTTCATCATGCCATTACCAGTCATTACCCATACCCCTCAAACCAGCACCTGGTAACCACGAATCAATTTTCTTATTTTGTGGAGTTGCCACTCCATAAAAATGGGACCATACAAGATGTGGTCTTTCTGCCTGGCTTCTTTTACTTAGCATAGTATTTTCAAAATGCATCCATGGTGTAGCATGTAGCAGTACTCCATTTATGGTATGGCTGAATAATATTTATTCATCAGTTGATGGGCATTTGGGTTGTTTTCTCCTTTTGGCTGTGGACGAAAGCAGCCACATGCTAACCTGAGAAACTCAGAGACCTAAAGTAACCACAAAAGATGGCCTGAAAATTAAATATTTAACTACAAACAGGTTCTAGAGGGTAATATTGTCCTAGGCCAGTATTTTCCCTAGCAAAGATCAACTTAGATCTTTCCTGAGCCCATTTGTCTTTTTGCCTCTAAGATGACTTATCTGTGAGATGTCTGGGTGACCTATAACTTCCCTTTTTCTTCCAGACCCCTCATGGCACAACAGATGGCATCAGGACATTCCCTCTTTGTTATTGTTATCAAGTTAATCATCACCTGTTAATTGTGTTGAACCAGTGGTTCTCAACCTTTCTAATGCCTCTATCCTTTAATACAGAACTGCTGCTGTAGAGCCTAAGACCATCGGAAAACACAGAGATTTACATTATGATTCATAGCAGTAGCAAAATTACAGTTATAAAGTATCACGAAAATAAATTTATGGTTGGGGGTCACCACAACATGAAGAACTGTATTAAAGGGTCATGGCATTAGAGAGGTTGAGAACCACTGGTGTTAAACTACCCTGTAAAAGAAGCACATGTCCATCATTTCACTTTTTATCCTATTCCAGAGGTTTCCCCACTTTGCTTTATCCCATCTCCTTCATCTATCCCCAATGACTTTCATGTAACCCACCTATGTCCCTTTCCTTTGATTGCCATGTATAAATATATCAATAGATGTAACCCGCTATTCTCCGGAGCATTATCTCAATTACTTGAGGTTCTGCTTCCTGGCATATGTTGACTCAAATAAACTCACAAAAATTCTTTACAGGTTTCAATGGTTTTTTTACGTTAACATGGCTATTATCAGTAAAGTCGCTAGGAGTGTACAGTTGTTGTGTGGACATACGTTTTCAATCCTCTTGGGTACACAGCTAAGGGTAGAACTGCAGGGCCATGTGACTACTCCATGTTTAACTCTGAGGAACCACCAAGCTGAGAACCACGTCCCTGGTCTGAACCCCTCTCACTTACTTCCTGGACTATTGCCTGACCAATGTCCCTGATGGGTGAGAACTTCCCACCAGGGTGGTCTGCTGCCCCTGGAGTTCTTATTCCACACCTTCCAGAACCATCTTTTTAAGAGCTCCCATTATCACTCCGTTGTGTAAAACACCCCGATGGCTTCCCATTACACACAGAATGAAATCTAAACTCCACCACAGCCCAAACCTGATGGAGTGTCTGCCAACCTCTGTGACTGCATTTCCTCTCCACCCCACCCCTCACACAGCATGGCCCTCCCCTGGCGTCTGCTTTTCAGACACGCCAAGCCCCTCCCATTTTAGAGCCTTTTAACTGGTCAGCTATGTCTGGAATTTGCTGCCTTCTAATCCTGGGGTGGGTCGCTGGCTCCTTCTAGATCATTCAGATCTCAGCTTGAATGGAACATCCTTAGAAGGGCCTTTCTTGACCCCCTGATCTAAAATAGCCGCTGGCATCAAGTGCTCTTTAACTGGCTATATTTTATTCAGAGTAAACATTGTCTACTTGTTTGGCTAATCACTAACTTTCAGCACATAGCCAGTTCCTAGAACGGGCGCACAGTAGTTACTCAATACATATTTTGGAGTGAGTGCATTAAAAAAGGCAAAGTCTCCTGATGCTCCGGTGTTCTGTGGCTGCATTACACACGATCCCAAAAGAGTGATTTAAAAAATCGGTTATTTGAGCTGGTCCCTTTCCCTCTCTACATGGCCCCTGCATGGTCTCCACAGCAAGTCAGCTAGATTTCTTACATGGCAGCAACGGGCTTCCAAGAGAAAAAAGTAGAAGCTACTGTCCTTTCAAGACATGAGTGTGGAATAAGCACAGCATCACTTCTACCATATTCTATTGGTCAACAGGGCCAGCCCAGATTCAAGGGACTATTGGGGCGGGGGGCGGGGAGGGGGGATGTAGAAGGATGGGGAGGGGGAAGGGCATGAAAACCATCAGGAGTGTTCCATGGGAATGGGTCCCCAGAAGGCAACCAATGAAATGGATAAGCACAGTATGCAAAGGGCAAAGGCTCAGTATACTTTACCTACCTACTGTCTGTAGCTGGAGAGGGAGGACATACTCTAAAGGCTTTGGCTGTGTTGCAAATAATGGAACTCTTTTTTAATGCAGAGTGATGTGAACAAGGTCAGAGAAAGCTTATGAATTACTTTGAGTATTGGACTGTTTGCTGCCACTTGATCAAAAAGCATACGCATAGATATGGCAGTATTTTATTAAAGACTCTTTGTGGAAGAGCAGAAAAACAAACTCAGATCAAAAGCAGAAATAAATGTCACTGAGCTAGTAAATTTGAAAAGACTCTTTGTGGCTATATCTAATGGAATTCTAATGGCAAGCTAACCCAGGGAGCACAGGCTAGTGTGGTAAGTACAGGAATCTGTGGCCTGACTGCTTGGGTTCAAGTCCTGACTGCTGACTAGTTGGTGATATTACACAGGTTTCTTGATTTCTTCACCCCATCTCCTCATCTGGAAAACGAGACTGGTGATAATAGTACCTATGAATGAGAATTAAGTTTGTTAATACCTACAAAGTACGGGAAAGGCCACATAATGACTGGTAGGTAAGCATTTGTTAAATAAAACACTAATTTCAAGGGGAAAACATTAATTCTTTATTTTTTATTGATTTCAGAGAGGAAGGGAGAGGAAGAGAGAGAGAAACATCAATAATGAATGAGAATCATTGATTGGCTGCCTCTTGCAGGCTGCACACTGGGGATCAAGCCTGCAACTTGGGCACATGCCCTGAGCAGGAAATGAACCATGACCTCCTGGTTCATGGGTTGATGCGCAACTACTGAGCCACTCTGGCTAGGCAGAAACAGTAATTCTAATAACATCCGTGGTCGCATTTATAAACCAGTGGATAGACTTTTTTTTTTTTTAACTTGCAAAAAGGAAATTGAACTAAATCAAAATAATTTACAGGGCATTATCTAAACCCTTCCCTCCTCCGGGTTTTCTCCAATCATTAACTATAAACACAACCAGTGATCATACCAACTAATCAAATAGCTCTTTTAAAAAAAAAATTGTTTTTGCAATTATTTAATCAGAATTTCTTAAGACTTTGAGCTTTACTGAACTTTCTTTCACCTTCCTTAATAACTTTTTAAAACTGAGAAAAAAAAGACACAATAATGACTAACAAGTTAAAGTATTATTAGAAGCAATGCTGTTCAAAGGTTGGGTTTGATGGTGAAGGGCCGAAGGTCACCCATAGCGAGGAGCGTCATAGTTCCAGGAGGGCTGGCCCTTGGTCTTGGGGCCCAAGTTAAATTCAAGGCTATTTCAGGAATTCTGCTTGCTGTTTATAATTAGGATAGACTATTCCAGACTCCACAGCTTCTTTACCCACAAAATAGAGTTCCCCGGCAAATGGAGGCTGTGAACAGGGGGCCTAGTGTTCGTCTAGTTCTCACTACAGCGTTCTAGGGCAAATTCCCAGGCCCAATGGCCAAAGATGATTTTGGAAACTATGGAGAAGATGGACTCATTTTGAAAAAGATTAAAATATCACCTTATGTTTCCCAAAGTTTTTTCAGTGTTATATCATGAACAACAGCCTTAGGCACAGAGAAAGACTAATACAACCATCATTGCTTCCATGAAAATCAACATTCCAAAGACGAGGGGGTCGGAGCAGAAGCTGAATTATGGATGAGAATATCCGTGGACCCCCTGACCGGGCAATCTGTCCGGATCTGGGTGAATTATGGGGAGAACTATGGGCCCCCTTTTCTTCCCTGAGCTTCTTCAGGACATGTTCTTACCAGGTTCTGAGCATTGACAAAGCTTCGATTCTCTTACTTTCATCTAATTTTCACTTTTTTGTGTGTGTTTCACTCTAACAATAAGGCGGGAGATGGAAGGCACTCATAATCTTACCACTTTAATGCAATTATTTTCACTTCTCTATATTTCCTTCCAGACTTTGCCCAGATGCAGGCAGGTTTTCAGGCAATTATCATCAGAATGCACATGCTTTTAATGTTGCCCTTTCTTCTTTTATAACAAGATTTGTTCATGTTGTTTCATAATCTTTTTAATTATTATGGCTTCATATTTCTATTTTTAAAAATATATTTTAGTGATTTTTTTACAGAGAGGAAGAGAGAGGGATAATCAGAAACATCGATGAGAGAGAAACATCAATCAGCTGCCTCTTGCACACCCCCTATTGGAGATGTGCCCGCAACGAAGGTACATGCCCTTTGACCGGAATCGAACCTGGGACCTTTCAGTCTGCAGACTGACGCTTTATCCACTGAGCCAAACTGTTTCGGCATGGCTTCATATTTCTAGTTGGAATATGTGTGTTATTATGTGGTCATTTACTTGGTCCTTTATTAGCAGACATGTAGGTTGCTTCCACTTTTTTTGTCGGTGGTGATATCGGGTCTAGTAATAATTAATGTCGTTTTTAAACATTCGTTTAAAATCTTGCTTGGCGTTGACTTGTATTGACATAACCTTCAAACACGTGGTATCTACAGAACGTGTGAAGTGCAATTAACAAGTTTTGCTTGAAAAAGTTTGTGTTTGGTTTGGTTTTTGTTGCAAAACTAGGGCTAAGAAGATGGCGGATGAAGAGCATATTCGGCACTGCATGCTTTACGAGTTCCAATTAGGAAGAAAAGCAAGTGAGGCTGCAAAAAACATCTGTAGTGCTCTTGGTCAAGATGCAGTTAGCGCCAGAAAATGCCAGCGTTGGTTTGAGAAATTTCGCGAGGGAAATTTTTCGTTAGATGACAAGAGTGGTCGAGGCCGTGTGTCCAATTTTGATCAAGAAGCTCTTCAAGCTCTTTTGGTGCAAAATCCTCAAATTACCCAACAAGAGCTTGCGACAACTTTAAATTGTTCACAAAAAACAATTTCCAATCAATTGCGTGCACTTGGCAAAGCCCAAAAGTTTGGAAAATGGGTTCCTCATGAGTTGACCGACAACAACCGTGATCAAAGAGTCACAATTTGCAGTTTTCTCCTCTCTCGTCAAAACCGTTTGCCGTTTTTAGAGCAAATTGTTACCGGAGATGAAGAATGGGTGCTGTATGTTAATTTGAAAAGGCGGCCTCAATGGTTGGACAAAAATGAGGCTCCGCAGCCCACGCCAAAACCTGACTTGCATGCGAAAAAAGTGATGTTGTGTGTTTGGTGGAATTTTAAAGGAATTCTTCATTATGAACTTTTACCATCTAACCAAACCATTACAAGTGCAGTGTATAGTGCCCAATTGGAAAGGTTAGCCCAAGCTTTAAGAGAAAAAGAACCCGCACTGATTAATCAGAAGGGCGTAATTCTTCATCACGATAAGGCACGACCGCATACTGCAAGAATCACTGCTGAAAAACTGCGCCAGTTGGAATGGGAAGTTCTCCCTCAACCTGCATATTCTCCTGATATTGCCCCTTCCGATTACCATTTGTTTTGTTCTTTGCAAAACTTTCTTCTTGGAAAAAAATTTAATAATGAAGAATGCCTCAAAAATGCATTGACCTAATTTTTTGCATCAAAATCACAAGAATTTTACAACAGAGGGATTAAAATGCTTCCTGAGCGTTGGGCACAAGTAGTAGAAAACAACGGCAACTATATTGTTGATTAAATTTTGTTGTACTGTTTAAATAAATTCGATTTAAAAAAGGTATTAGAAAACGACATTCATTATTACTAGACCTATACAAAAGCTGTAACAAACTTCCCTGTACAGGTACCTCCATTGGCATTATTTCCGTGCCATAAATTCCTGAGGAAAAGATCATGGGCTGTGGCAGATTAGATGTTCTAGAGGTGACCATAACAACTTCCCTTCCAATCTCATTGCTCTTCTGCAATATGACCTTTACACTCCCCATTGAACCTGGGTGTGCTCTGTGACTGATCTGACCAAGGGGGCATGGCAATAGACACTGTTCCAGGTGGAGCCTTTAATTGGCCTGATAGCATCTATTTCTTGCTTCAAAAAAGCATTGCTCACCAAAACCAGTTTGGCTCAGTGGATAGAGCGTCAGCATGCAGACTGAAGGGTCCCAAGTTCGATTCCAGTCAAGGGCATGTGCCTTGATTGTGGGCACATCCCCAGTGGGAAGTGTGCAGGAGGCGGCTGGTCGATGTTTCTGGCTCTCTATCCCTCTCCCTTCCTCTCTGTAAAAAAATCAATAAACTATATATTTTTTAAAAAGTCTAGGCTTTTCGAGATGCAAGCCTTATAAGGATCTTGCTTTCTGCACTGTTTCTAAGTTTCTTCACGTAAGAGAGATCAATAGCATCCAACTCCTTGGAGGGATGTTTATTTTGCCTCTCTTCTGAGAAGTAAGGACTCATTTTGGAAGTCCTCCACCAACATTTTTTATCCTCATTATCTCTAGTTTGCTTCCTTTTCCTTTCTTGCTCCTGCCAAACTTGAAGCTCTGCTCATCTTCAAACAGAAATATACTACTCACCTACTTTGAATTGAAACACATGAAGCTCTTTGAACTCACGTGAAGAAAGGAGCCACAAAGGACTGACACGGGTGTGGATACCGGCATGGCACATTAAAAACCGATGCTCGTGAGGAGGAAGACATTTTCCTCTCCCCTTCTAGGTTCTTCCAGCTGGTCTCATAATCAAATTGACAGGTGGCAGATTAACCGGAGAAAAGAATCAAATTTAACTCATGCGCATGTACTGGGACCCCATATACATGAGCGGGTCGGAGACACAAAGGTAACATGAGGTGTATATGACCGTCTGAGCTAAGGGTGAGGTGAGTCACCTTGAGGTTGCAGAGAGGAGGGTCGTTGACAGGTTGGTGTAATTAGAAGTGTGCCCTGCCCCATAGATAGGTCATAAAAGGTATTTCTATATAACTCTTCTTATGGGCAAGATTCCAAATATAAATTCTTTAATGGAGGGGTAAAAGTTTCTCTTGAACCTACAGGGTCTTAGTCTCCTTCAGCTCAAAATAATCCACACACTTAAGTGGCTCATCTTGGGCGGCCTGTTTTGAACCCCTTCACTTTATTCATAAATTGATTCCAAAACCTATGTGTGCTCCTATTATCCTACACTAGAGGCCCAGTGCATGAAATTCATGCATTTGGAGGGGGTTCCCTCAGCCCAGCCTGTGCCCTCTCACAGTCCAGGAGCCCTTGGAGGATGTCCAACTGATGGCTTAGGCCCACTCCCCCTAAGCCATCAGCTGGACATCCTTAGTGCTGCTGTGGAGGCAGAAGAGGCTCCTGCCACTGCCACTGTGCTAGCCAGCCATGAGCCCAGCTCAGAGCTTCTGCCTGAGCAGTGCTCCCCGTGGAAGCACAATGACCACCAGGGGGAAGCTCCTGCATTGAGCGACCGCCCCCTGGTGGTCAGTGTGCATCATAGTGACCGGTCATTCCATCATTAGGTTGATTTGCATATTAGCCTTTTATTATATAGGATAATAAAAGCCTAATATGCTAAGTGTCCAGTTGCCTGGTTAGCCGTTCAACCAATCATAGCATAATATGCTAATGATATGCTAAGGCAACTCAACTGTTTGCTATGATGTGCATTGACCACGAGGGAGCAGATGCTCCAACTGGTAGGTTACTTGCTGCTGGGGTCCAGCAGATTGGGACTGAGCAAGACGAGCTGGACACTCCCTGGAGCCCTCCTGTGGTCCCTCCCCATCTGACCCAGGTCAAGTGTCCCTCCCTGGCCCTGATAGTGCACCGGTGGAGTCCTTTGGCCTGGCTTACGCTATCTCACAATCAGGGACCCTTCAGAGGATGTCAGAAATCCAGTTTTGGCCTGATACTGTAGGCCAAGCCGAGGGACCCCACTGGTACACAAATTCGTGCACTGGGCCTCCAGTATAGTAATAATATTTATTCTCTCAGATAGGACTCTGAGTATCCAGTGATGGAAACAAATTCAAATTTGATTTTGAGGTGAACGGAAATTTATCAGCACATGGAATTGAGGACTCATTTCAGGAGAGGACTGACTCAGGGCTCAAACAATGTGAAAGAGAGAGAGATTTCTGTTTCTTGCCTGACTCTGCCTTCCCCTGCTTGTTGGTTCTATTCTCTGGCTCCAAGTGGTTGAAGAAGCAGCTCCAGGTCTGGCCAGTGTGGCTCAGTTGCACCAAAAGATGGCTGGTTCCCAGTCAGGGCACATGCCTAGATTGCAGACTTGATCCCCAGTAGAGGACATGCAAGAGGCAGCAGATGAATGTTTCTCTCTCATTAATGTTTCTCTCCCACTCTGTCTAAAACCAATAAAAACATATGAAGAAGAAGAAGAAGAAGAAGAAGAAGAAGAAGAAGAAGAAGAAGAAGAAGCAGCAGCTCTAGCTTCACTGACTGTTAGGTTCAAGTTCAAGAGAGTGAGAGAGACATTCTTCCAGAAAGCTGCCACACAAGTCCTGGGGTCCAACGATTGGACCATCTTGGATCTTGCACTCATTTCTGAACCAATCACAGTGGCCTGGGGGAGGAGAATGTGCTGATTGGCTTAGGCTGGGCCACTGGTTCCATCCCTGGTGCTGATTCAGTGTCACTGAGAGCACAGTGACTGAGAGGCGACAAGGGAAGGATGAATACTCTGTCCAACATGGAGCTGCAAACATCACACCCTCCTGTCTTCTGCTCCTTTGCAGGAGTCCTCTGCAGACATGCCAGTGTCTGAGAGTAGCAGTGCACAGCCTTGTTTGACCAAATCTTTTGCTTATCCCCACCCCAGTAATCAATAACTCCCTCTAAGATACTCTTTCTTCCTTTCTTCCTTCCTTCCTTCCTTCCTTCCTTCCTTCCTTCCTTTTTAAAATATATTTTATTGATTTTTATAGAGAGGAAGAGAGAGGGATTGAGAGTTGAAAACACCGATGAGAGAGAAACATCGATCAGCTGCCTCCTGCACATCCCCTACTGGGGATGTGCCCACAACCAAGGTACTTGCCCTTGACCAGGATCGAACCTGGGACCCTTTAGTCCACAGGCCAACGCTCTATCCACTGAGCAAAACCTGTTAGAGTTACAATGATATTCTATTTCTAAGTGTTTGTCATTTCTCCTCGGAGGTGCCACATAATACTTTTCTCTTCCAGAGGCCGAGCCTTTAGGGGAAGGAAGGAGGCCAACAGGAGAAAAGTGACTGCTTTCCTTCCACTCCCGGGGAAATGCAGTTAGAAGCTTCCGAGATGTAAAGGAAAAGGGCTAGAGCTGGATTTCCAAATGTGGAGGGACAGTACTTCTCTTTCTTTCCCTTCCTTCCTTCCTTCCTTCCTTCCTTCCTTCCTTCCTTCCTTCCTTCCTTCCTTCCTCCTCCTTCCTTCTTTTGGTGTGTGTGTGGTGTGTGTGTGTGTGTGGTTGTGTGTGAGAGGGGGGGAGAGAGAGAGAGAGAGAGAGAGAGAGAGAGAGAGAGAGAGAGTATTGTACAAAATGAAGGAGTTGGAGTAGAAACTCATTCAAGTTCCCTTAGAGCACATGTGTCAAACACAAGGCCCGCGGGCCAAATCCGTCCCGCCAGGCCTTGCAATGTGACCCGCACCGCGCTCTCATCACTGCACTCCGCTGCGTTTCCATCACAATGACAGTTATGACTGTTTCGTAAAACCATTCGGCCCGCGATTTAGGCTGGATTTTAGATTTTGGCCCCTTCTCTGATTGAGTTCGACACCCCTACCTTAGAGGATTTGATGATTCATATCCTTTCTTCCCCAACAGGCAGTCTTTGGTTTTATCTGTACGAATGCGAGAGGGCATTGGATTGAGGAGAGAGGAAGAGGAAAGAGGCTGGGGGTGGGGGGGTGGGGAGCGTGGAGCAAGGAGGGCAGGAGGTTGTCAAGCTGCTGCTCCTGGTTTTCCAATAGGACCCTGAGCCTCCCCACCCGTCCTCCGGATTCCTTCAGATCACCAGCTTGAGCCTGACAGCCTATTCCCTCGGCTCTAGAAAAGGAAAGCAAAGCAGAGCTTGATGGGTGGCTCGGAATCGGGCAGGAGCATTTACCGAAGATGTCCATCGAGGGGAGGGAGCAGGCTGGAGGACCCGAGGCTATGGCTCATGGTCAAGTTCAGGGCCAGGCTGGCTTCCCAGGACAGTGAGCAGGTGGGCATCACAGGGCAGGAGCCTATGAAAAGGAGAAGGACAAAGGACAGAGGGAGGTATTATAGGAGCAAACGTGTTTAGAAGGCTCTGACACGCCAGCAAAGCATTTGAGGGATGCCAGCAAAGCATTTGATTTCTTTAAAGGGAAGCAAAGTAAGCAGCACAGGAAACTGGCCAGCCTCCTGGGGGAGACAGCAGGAACTCTGCAGGGGAAGCAGGCCAGTGAGCAGCGTTTGGGGCTGAGCTACCGGCGGGCTCTCGCATCCCAGAAAGAGTGAGGCTGTCAAAGGGGTTCTCAACTAAAGTGTGGTCTCGGCATTTGTGCCGATGTTGCTTCGTTTTATTTCAGTCTGTAGGCTGATGCTCTATCCACTGAGCCAAACTGGTTTTGGCTAAAATATGTTTTTTATTGATTTTAGGGAGAGAGAGAGAAGAAGGGAGAGAGGTAGGGATATAGGAACATCGATCGGCTGCCTCCTGCACACCCCCTACAGGGATCAAGCCTGCAACCTGGGCATGTGCCCTGACTGGGAATTGATCTGTTGACCTCTTGGTTCATGGGTTGATATTCAACCACTTAGCCACACGAGCCAGGCATGTTGCTTCGTTTTAAGTTCTATTTCTCCTTGGTTCGCTTGTAAGCCAGAAGAAATGCAAGAGCTACACAAGTAGGCGCCCTCCAGTCCGGTTTGCCACGGGCGCTGCAAACAAACAGGCCCCAGCCCCTCTCCCCGGGGACCTGACCCTCCATGCAAGAACCCAGGACCTCTCGGGTCACGTTAAAGCTCAACTCTCATCCTTTATCTGAAAAACAACTATTTGAGAGACAGGAAACATGTACTTTGCAACGGGACAATGTTGACTCTTACCTGAGCCCAGGGATCCTGGGAAACAGTAATGGGCTGGATCCCCCAGCCCCTGGCTTCTGGGAAAGGGCTTCGGCAAGGCCGCACCTTCCCGGGGATTTAGATAAGACCCACCTGCGTTTACCTGTGAGGAGGCCGGACACAGACCCTCCACTCCCTTTCTTTGCTTCATCAATGATTAACTGGACTGCTCGCCCTCTGATCAGTCCCAACAATCAGTCCCACTTTGGTTAGGTTTCTGTCCTTCCTCCAGGCCCCTGAGCTTGACCCACCCTGCCCTCAGCCTGAGTCAGCACACAGCCCCTCTGAGAACAGCCGCCCTCAGGGCCACGCCTTCTCTGACCCGCTATCGATCGATCGATTGTGCCCCTGTGCCTCCCACCTGCCCAGGTCGGATTCTCCCAAGCCTGGTGTACTCTTGTCTACAACAGAAAAATTCTTTCTGCCTAACTCTTTTTAAAAAATGTATTTTACTGATTTCTCACAGAGAGGAAGGGAGAGGAATAGAGAGTTAGAAACATCAATGAGAGCGAACCATCGATCAGCTGCCCCCTGCTCACTCCCCACTGGGTATGCGCCAGCAGCCAAGGCAAATGCCTGGGACTAGAATAGAACCTGGGACCCTTGAGTCCACAGGCCAATGCTCTATCCACTGAGCCAAACCGGCTAGGGCTCTTTCCGCCTAACTCTTGAGGTGCTGTCAGACCTTCAGGTCACAGCTTTCTCCTATTGCCACAGTTCCCCTCCCCGCTTGTGATAATCCTTTTGAATGAAAGCCTGGAATGTTGTTGTTTTTTAAGTTGGGCCATCCTTCCCTAGCGGCCGGGCTCAGTGGTTGAGTGTTGACTTATGAACCAGGAGGTCATGGTTCCATTCCCCGTCAGGGCTCATGTCTGAATTGCAGGCTCAAACCCCACGGTGGGGTGTGCAAAAAGCAGCTGATCAATTATTCTCCCCTCATTGATGTTTCAGTATCTCTTTCCCTCTCCCTTCCTTTCGGAAATGAATAAAAATATATATTTTTTTAGAAATTTGACCAACCAGAAATGAAAGACAACCCATCAGCTCCTTTTCTGAGCTCCTTCTATCAACACAAGTGTTATTGGAATCAAATATTGTTTGATCATTCAAACCCCAGGGCTGGGTTTCCAGAGAGTTGTGGTTTGCCAAGACAAGGTAGCTTCTGACAGAGGGTGACCAGGGTACAGGGCCTGAGTGAAATGCTTATTCTGCGACAGGCAATGTTGTCCGTGGTTTACATATGTTATGTCACTTCATTTTCCCAGTTTCCATGGTTTTGGCTCTGTTTTAGGAATGAGGAAACAGACACAGAGAAGGTAAATAGCTTACTCAAGGCCACGTAGCCCATGAGAGGCAGAGCGGGGATGCAAAGTCCGGTCAGGCCAGACCGGACACAGCGTGGGACTCTCCTTGGAGGGAGGCTTCCTGGGGTGCTCCCTCTCGTGCGCGCTCCTCCTACTTGGGGATAGGAAGCAGGCGAGAAAGAATAAGAGCTCTGACAGCTGTCAGCCTGGAACTGGCCTGGCACAAACACAAGCCACTTCACAGAGCAGAAAAGCCTAGTGAACTCTCATCGGTTTGGCTCCGTGGATAGAGTGTTGGCCTGCGGACTGAAGAGTCCTGGGTTCAATTCTGGTCAAAGGCATATCCCTGGTTGCAGGTTCAAGCCCCAGTAGTGGTGGGGGGAGAGGGGGCAGCCGATCAATGATTCTCTCTCATCGTTGATGTTTCTATCTCTTTCTTTCTCTCTGAAATCAGTAAAAATATGTTTTAAAATAAAGAAAAAGCCTAGTGAGCTCACTCTAGCCACTTGAGCGAGAGGTATAAGAGACCACTTGTCACTTCTATCTTAGCCCAAGAACAAGAACACTGAGTGATCCTCAGGGATGACCCAACAGCTCCCTCTCCTGGCCAACCGGAGCAACTGCTGCTTCTTTATCCTATGCCTGCCCGCGCCTCTGGCAGGTAAAAATTGTCTCCAAATGACGCCCACTTTCTGACAGCATCCAATTCGGAGCAATCCTCACTCTGACGAACCTTTTTTTTCAAAACCATCCAACAGGAATCCTATCCTATGATAAGCCCCGTCTAATTTCCTCTTATCTGGATCCCGCTCAGTCCCCGAGGGTGTATAGTCACGCTTTCTGTATTTGACCCTGCGGACTGGTGACTAACACATGACTGTAGTTTAGATGTAAATTTGGTTTCATACGCGCCACCTGGTGGTTATATCTTGTAACAGCAGGAGCTTCTATCTGGGCTGATTCTGGAAGGACCACATCCTGGGGTTGTTAGCTTAACACTCACTCCTTCTCTCTTCTTATCCATTCCCTCCCCCTCCTCTCCATCTTCCACCTTTCCCTGGTTGTTGTTTTTTCCTTTTGGAAAAATGGTGTAAATGGTCTACCATACTGAAGAGATGTCCGAGTTATCTTCAACTCAATTTCACCAGCTGCTGAACCTCAAGCCTCAGCCTTAACGCATCCCATGGTTTGTCAGTACACCTGACCCCGGAGACCTCTGGTGGAAAAATTAGGTTCTATCTGTGGGAATAAAAACTCCAGAAGCTCTGTACCCTGGCTCCTCCTCCCAACGTTTATGCCCTTGAAATGAAGGGTAAACCTGTTCAAACAGCTCAAGTATCGTTCTTCTTAATATTCCCACACACTCACCACCAAAGTCAGAAAAAAATTCATCACTAGTGGGCTGAACATAAACTCTAAATTTACAAGTTCATTTTAGTTGTAACTTTCTTTTCTTACCCATTGACACATCCTACATAACTTAGGGCTGTGGCCCTGATGGAATACTAACAGCAGCACACATCTGGGACTTCTTTTTGGTCACGTGAATGTGGAAACTCAGATATACATGGTATGACTGCCCCAGGCTAAAGGCAGTGATCGGCATAGTGGCAGCTCAGTAATGAAAACAGATAGCATTGCCGAGCACGTACCTTCTGTTGTAATTACAGCATCTGAGGTTTCGAGGATGCAGCGGTGGGAGCACATTAGTGTGTTTCTGTGACACTGCTCCAGTCATTTCCTAGAGCAACAATTTCCCGCGGCAAAACCAATATGGTCTGAACAATCAGATTTGTATCTTTTTTCTAGAAAATGTAAAACCTGACCCTAGCAGCTGTGGCCATAAACTGAAGGGTCCGGGGTTCGATTCTGGTCAAGAGCACATACCTCAGTTGCAAACGTGTCTGTGGCCTTGGATGGGGCACATGAGGGAGACAACCAATCGACGGGTCTCTGCCACATGGATGTTTTTCTCCTGTGTGTCTCTCTCATTCCCTTCCACTCCCTCCAAAATCCTCAGGGAAGGGGTAACAAAACAAACAAGCAAACAAACAAAAATAAAGTTGATTTAAAAAAAAAAAGTACAAAACTGGTATTACTTTATGAAATGATAGGTATTTTTAATATACTACTATAATGGGATATTTTCCAAGAGTCCTGCAATGACCGTCCATATCTATACATCACTGTTAAAATTCCATAAATACTACATTGATCAATACATTCTTATTGTAAAAAAAAAAAAAAATCCAGAAGGGAACAGTCAATGGGATAGTTACCCATCATTCCCAATCCCTCCCCTCAAATCTCACATCCCCAGAATAACCACTCTTGTCAGTTTGTGTTCTTTCCAGATTTTCTTTGCATTTACATTTATACTTAATGCACTTATTTAGTGGGTAATAATAAACATTCCGGGTACATTGTCGTCTCACTTAATCCTCTTTGGGGAAGCCACCTTTCACATTTACCTTCAGCCTTTCCTCTGGGCCTGGGGGTTAAACTGACAGAAGACAGATTAACGGGAGGGAAGAGCAGCTTCCTCCTGGGCCGTTTTTTCCACATGGGGGTTTTATCTCCTGCTTTTTAGGAAGAAAAGACTCAGAGCAACCTTCTTGCACCTGCGTGTTCGTAAATGCCTTTAGCTCAAAATAATCCTCACGTCCCAGTGCCTGTTCGGGGTGACATGTCCTGCCACCCCCTCATCTTCTCAACAACGTTTGAGGCTGGTGCCATATTTATTTATTTACAGTCGAGGAGCCGGAATCACAGAGGAGGTAACGAAAGGGTTCAGGTTGCACCCCTGGCAAATAACAAAGCCAGATTTTGAGCTCAAGTCAAATCCAGGATCCCAAACTTGCAGCCACTGCATTGTACTGCCTCTCGTTGGCAAACTCATGTCCCCCCCAGCTGCTTTTTGGTTCGCTAAGCACAGGAGCTGTGCGGACGACATGCACTCTATGAGTCTTTCAGTGGCGGCTGATCCTGGGCTGTTTGGAATAAACACACAGGAACACAGTGAGAGGAGCTGCTAGCTTGAAGCTACAAAGGCAGCCAGTCTCAGCCTGTACGGGTTGTCAAAAACAAGGGCCCAGCAGGCCACGTGGCTCAGTGGTTGAATGTTGACCTCTGAACCAGGAGGTTACGGTTTGATTTCCAGTCAGGGTGCATGCCCGGGTTGTGGGCTTTGTTCTCAGTGTGGGGCATGCAGGAGGCAGCCAATCGATGATTCTCTCTCATCACTGATGTTTCTGTCTATCTCTCTGAAATCAATTAAAAAAAAATAATAATAAAATAAAACGTGTCGATTGCTCAATGACAGCACAAGATTTATCTTAGTTTGACATTTGGGTAAAATTAAATATTCTACCAAAGTCACTTTCTTGTCACATTCCTGGCTCTTACGTGGGTTCTCCAAACTCAGTTCGAATGTATCAAGAGTGAAAGAGCAGACTAATAGTCCTCGGAGCTCATTTTCCGCCCCCGCCCGGGTTTCCTCGGTGTGCTGAGGGCCATCCCGGCCCTGCTCCTGCAGAGCGTGATGCTAGAAGACGTGAAAGTGAAAGCACTTGGTAAACTGGAGCACACTTCCCTCGGCCTCTGCCTTGTGCCCCATGCACCTCTCTCTGGGCTGTGAGAGTGGATGGATGAGCTCTTAGCATCAATTATTAAGAAACAAGTAATGAAAGTACCCAGACATGGGGAATGCTTTCCAAACAGCACACCACCGGCACAGTCCCTTCCTCGGTGACCTCTGGCTCTGAATCTCGGCTGGCAATCACCCGGCTGGCAGAGCTGCTCTCCCCGCTAATGTAAGAGCCCTCCCTCCTGGGAAACAGGGAGCTGCATTAGGGGTCTGGCACCCAGCGGCCACTCACAGATCTACCCAAAGCCATGGTTGGCAAGCTGTGGCTCGAGAGCCACATGCAGCTCTTTGGCCTCCTGAGTGTGGCTCTTCCACAAAATACCACGGCCTGGGCGAGTCTATTTTGAAGAAATAGTGTTAGAAGAAGTTTAACAAATTGGGCTCTCAAAAGAAATTTCTATTGTTGTACTGTTGATAT